ATGCTGATATAGAGTTTCTGAGATAAGTTTTAACTCTTTTTAGAGTTGAAAATGACCTTTCAGCTTCACATGAAGTTACAGGTAACGTTAAAAGAATTTTCAACAATTTATACACGTTGGGATATAGATCAATATTGCAATTACTAATTACTTCAATAGCAGTAACCATTTTTAAATTGGTTTCGACACGTAATTTAAAAACTTGATGATGCCAAATTTTTACTTCAGCTAAAACATTTGATGAATTTTCTACATCGTTAGCATAAAATTCCGCCAAATTTTTTATTAATTTTTCTTGTTGTTCAGTAAGAGGTGCAATCGGGAAAAGCAATTGAAAACCTTGAATAATTTCATTATGATTAATAAATCTGTCATTTAACTGACTAATAAATGTATCTAAAAAAGGTATAAATAAAAAAACTTTAAAATAATCTTGAACTGTATTATTGGGAGTATTCTGACTATAAGTGTGTCTTTTTGTAATTCTTGGAATTTTTATCTCAAAATCTAAATCATTTGATTTACTTTGAAGTTCTTCAAAACATTCTAAGAACTCTTCATCGACATTATTCCTAATTGAATTTATTTGAAGTATCACATTGTTGACATATTCTAGAGCTTGAATAAGATCTATGTCAGGTTTTTGTAAGTATTTGCATAAAGATACAGTATACCGAAATATTTTTTTTAAAACAATAAGACTTACATTAAATTCACAATTTTTTAAAGCTAATAATAATATATGAGCTTTAGTAGATGTTTCGTTGTCTGCCCAACTAGTCATTTCTTCTAAACACGAATGGACAGCAGGAAGAAGTTGATCAAACACTTCTACTGAGTCATGCCTTTCAACCCATCTTGTCATACATAATCGTTTTAGTTTTTCTTTATGAGTATTTTCTTGATTCAGTTCTTTGACATGTTTTGAAAATGCAGCTTGTCTTTTTGGAGTATTTAAAAATACGAAAACTTTTTCGATTGTACCCATAGTATTTCGAATGGATTGTACACCGCAAGCATAAGTTATAGCTAAATTTAAACTGTGCGCACTGCAATGAACATATATAGCAGTTTTATATTCTTTTTTTATGCATGATTGTACACCATTGAATCTCCCACTCATCGATGCAGCTCCATCATAACCCTGTCCTCTGATGTACTGCATTTCAATTTTCATGTCAGTAAGTTCTTTAATAATTATACTTGCAAGTGCGCTTCCACTTAAGTCCATAACAGGTACAAATTTTAAAAATTGTTCTTTTATTATTTTACTTTTAGAATCAAAATAACGAACACATAACGAAAATTGTTCAATGCCAGCCACGTCTGCCGTTTCGTCAGCTATTACCGAAAAACATTTACTATTATTGATTTCATCAATGATTTTAAATAAAATAATATCATGACAAGAACTGATAATTTCGTTTTGAATCTTCCAACTTGTATACTGCGCGTTTTTTGCACAATTTGTTCTTGCCAATTCGTAAGATTCATCACCAGACAACTTTGTCGCATTCATATGAAATCGCATTAAAGCTCTAAAGTTACCGTCATTTTCTATTGGGTTTTCCGTCGTTAGCATTCCAAAATCCCGATGTCCGCGTAAGGCAATTCCCTGTCTTCCGCAAAAAACCACAGATTCGATTACTGGAATAATTATTTTTCTATTCAATTCTTTCTGCATTTTAGAAGCTTTATTTAATTGTAAATCTATTGAATCTTGTTTTCCAGCTTCAATAGCAACAATGTTCTGATACTCTTCAACTGCTTTGAGGTGATAATTACACTTTTCGTGAATATTAAATTTTTCTATTGCTTTATACCAAATTTTAAAAGGCTTAAGACTAAAATTACCCAAAACCTGAGAACCTCCTTCCGTTTTATTAAATATAACACAATACTTGCAATACGCGCCGTCTTCTTTATGTGAATACGCCAACCAAATCCATTTCTCCAACCAACTAAATTGAAACTTCAATTTTTTTTTGTTTTTAAATTCTGTTGTTGGGAAAATAAATGTTTTTTCTGGGGTCCATGTGTTTTGAAAAAAATCTATTTTTTCTTTATTTGATAACTTTTTACCAACACATAATTCAATATCAAATAAACTAACCTGCAGATTATCGTGCTGACAATGTACATTTTCTATTTGTTGGCTTAAATCATCTTCCGGACAAAATTTCGCATTATTTGTATTTAATTCCTGCCGCGGTACTTTTTTGGAAAAAAAGTCAGTTATACTTTTATTAACACGTTTACTCATTTTACGAAACAGTATATTATATTGTAAGATTAGAAATACAAAACCTAATCACGTTTATATAATATCTTATATCGCACATGCACACAAATACGTAGATAACTCAAAGAACCGACACTGAGAATAAATATCGGACAACTGATGTTATTAATTTATCAATATTATTAGACTTAATATAAACTAATAATAACTTAGATGGCCACGTGGTCGGTTTTCGTATTACAAATTTACATCAATATCTAATTGCCTATCATAAAAGATAAGAACCTGAATAATGTAAATTATTTCTAAATATAATAAAAATAAAAATAGTTTACATCAAGATTCAAATAATATTCTTATTTTAACCAAGATAAATATTTCTGAATTTATACATAAATTATTATGGACTTTCATAATAATATTTTAAACCATTTGTTCTGATAAATCGTCTGCATTATGAAGACTGCAATATTATGATTTTTATGTTATAAATTTAATATAAATAGATCACTTTTCAATAGTTATTAAATAAAAAATACGGTCCAAGGGGGGTGTCCAGACACCCAAAACACCCCCCCTGGTTGCGCCACTGGTGTCACTTCTATGACAAACATGAGAATGATGCAATACTTTATTAAATTTTTTACAAGGAACTTTCATCCGAATCAATAATTATACTTTTTAGCTTCGATGTGAAAATGCTATAACTTTTCGAAAAATGTATATATCAACACAAAATTTTGTTTTCTAATTACATTATAAGTACAACTTTCATTTGACATCATTTTTATTAGAATTGGACAATTTCCCCTTATATAGAGTGCGTTCAAAACTGGAAACATTGTATAAAAAATTAACTTTTGAAAATGTTCCGGAAATAATGCGTCCTTTAAACATATATCAAATCAAAGTTATATGTTAGATACTATAAAACGAAAAAAAAAA